GAGAAATCATGTAGTGATTGTCTTTTATTTAAAAAAAAAAGCGAACAGGTGTATTTGCAATTCTACGAAAAACCGTTATACAGCGTTATAGAAAATAAGCGCTTTCACTCAGTGGTTGAACTTTTGTAATTTAAGTGTGAAATTGTCCTTTCATTGGTACTTTACTAGGTGTCACATACATATATAGTCATACAACTGAATGTACTGTTATCATTCATAATGTGCTTCTTTTTTTTTTTGTACTCAATGTACTACACAAACAAATTTTGTAATTTCGAAATTTTTCACCTAAATTTCTCTCCATCTCCATCGTGAAGAAGATCAACTACTTCAAATGAATGTTCCATAAGGGGATCTTCTTCCAAACTTACCGCTCAAACTTCTAACGCAGAGTAAGTGTCTGTTTACTTTATACATTCACACGCATACAGGCGAAATAGCGTTGCCTAGTTCCATCCCGACTTTTTGTATTTTATAAAAATATATATTTTGAATGTTTATTTATTGATTTACTATATAATTGGCACTTCTAATCACCACTATAATGTAATATGAAAGCCTTTAAGTGTTCTACTTTCGCTCATAACCTCAAAAGGATATGTGTAACTATCTTAGTGGCATATAGTTAAAGGACCAGTTAAGTGTATATAGATACATAAACTAGATGTCTACTCTCATTAGCTTGCATCACACTTTTGTGTTCTCTCATCAAGCGTGCATTCTCGAGTCATTTGGAGCATCACTTACACTCATTCATCCATCATTTTATAAGCAGTAATACTACCATTCATGATGACAAAAACATGTTTTACGAGAAAACGTTTAATTGAAATTTGTTGGAAAGTAACCGGTTTTAAAGCGAAGCTCTTAATACATCTTTGCCTTGACAAAGTTTCAAATAAAAGTTTAGTAAAATATTTTAAACAATTTTTATTTAATTTTTCTATTGAAATATACAAAAATTTCCAACAAATATTGACTCAATTTTTTTCTCATTTCTCATTCATTTTTTTAACTCATAGCGAATGCCGGCATCATTTAGCAATCTAACTAAATTAGCCCACAATTAAGCATCCATTAGTGCAAGCGATCTAATTATAATATATTTAGCGGCCTGAGCCCCTATCAATTATTTAAATAGACATTTGTTTCGATTCTCCTAGTCAATGCCATGAAATCTCAATTTATCGTTTCTTTTGTATATGTATGTGACTGTATGTGTGCAATGATGAAAGTCGGTAGAGTTTTGTCAAAACTGCACGAAATTCGAATAAATCTCATCCATGGATTGGCGCTGACCACAGGCAGTTTTGACAACGTTCTGACTGTCAAAGAAAGTTGAGAAAAATGCGTTTTTAGATAATTAAATTATACTACATCTGACAATCACTGTCCACTTAAAGGCACTCAAATTTATTAAATGTGTTTTCGCTATCTGAACTCTTTTTTGTCAATATGCTATAGTAAAAACTTTTTCGTGTTGCATAGAATAGACGTACATGAGCAAGTTACATAATTGCCCGCCAATTTAGCTAGTTACTTGCGCTGTTGTAAGTAGTGCGGTCACCTTCTCCGTATGTGCACGTTCTTCGAGCAAAAAATCAAAATTTTCAACATAGCAATATCTTATCTTTAACTAAATTGATATATGTGTTAGTGAATAATGTAAAAGAAAAGTTCAACAAAAGCAATTTATCGGTGGAAATTTTTCATTAGTTTTTACGATAGCTTTCGGAACTCCTCTGTGGATACCTGTACAGCAACGGACAGGCCACAAGTTGCCGCATGCCCCTATTTTCGCCTTGTCTATTCATCCTTCCTAATCAATATAAGCCGCTCCGGACTTCTCTCTATGCAGCAGACATGCTTTATGTCGCGCTACTTACATACTTAAACCGCCCTGTCTATCTCTGAAATGGCATTCACTTTTCTCGTGCCCTGCTCTCTCAACCTTTCTATACTTTAGGACCAACTTATTTCCACATCCGCATCCACATAATGTCTCGTCGACGTGAACATACTCGCACATCAGCATACCATAAACACACACACATGCTCGTTTGTACATATGTACATATGCATCGCTCATCCATAAATACTAAGTATTGTGTTAGTTCAACATCAGCTTTACGTGCCTCATTGTTCCCATTATTGTTTGTTGAATAAACGGATAGGAATTGTTAAGCACACAAACTGGAGACGAAAGGTAGGCAGCCTGTGGAACAAAGAGCAAATATTTGGACGAGCATCTAAATGTAAATATGTATGCAAGGCTCAAAATTATAAAAAAAAAGTACAAGGAGGACTATCTGTGTAGGATATTTCGAGGAAGCAGAAATTTAAGCTTTTACAATACTTAACTACGACAGTCTTCATTATAGTTTGGTATGTTAACTAGAAAATATACGGATAGGATTCCAATGAGCATATATTTAAGGTAGTTAAATTAAAAACGCGAATTGTTAAGCTTACTCAATTGGATTTAAGAAACTTAATAAAATTATTTTGATTGCTTCGTAAGAGATCTGTAAAAAATCTATCCAACTAATCAAAATTTTATGTAAAGAAAAAAGGGCCTATTTAATGAATTATATTTTATATGTGCCCTGAAAATATTTACAATAAAGTGACTAGGATAAAGAGGTCTTAAATATAGTCCTAAAATACTCTCTTTCGATATAAGAATTCTTTTTTATCGATGCAAGAACAATTAACTCAAATAACACTTAAACTTTAGAAACGACGAAATCAAGAACAAAATATTATTTTATTATCTCTCAAGATCAGTTTTTTTTTTAATAGAGTATTTTGTTATAGTGTAACGGTAATTTCAATATAATAATAGCGATATGATGTCGTCAAAAAAAAAAAATTAAACCTCAAACGTTTCTGTAACACCCTCTCTACTAACAACCCAAGCGATCTGTTAAAACATTTTATTATTCTTTATTTTATATTAAAAGCATTAATTGAATTTCTTTTCTCTCTTTCTGCGCTCTCTTTGAAAAAAAACACAAACATTTTTGAAAATGAAAAAAATCTCTGGGAAAATTTACACAAAATTCCGCTCTTTCTACTATCAAAAAAACGGACAACTGCTGTCCGCCCCCCTTGCTCTCTGTGTGTGTTGCTGTTGCTATTACTCACTGCACACTGCTGAAAATGAAAATGTCGTCTGTTTAAACACATAACCGTAACTGTAAATATAACGAACCACGTCGACAGTCAGGAGACGCGTGAGGGCGGCGATGCGCATAAATGCTGTAGCGGCAGTTGTTGTAGCCGGTGCGGACACCAGCAACATGGCTGTGCTGGTGAGGCTGGTGGTGGTGGTGGTCACAGCAATCAGGATAACAACAATTTGTGCAATAGTTGTTGTTCACGCGCTGATGACCAACAACAGCAACAACAAAGCAATGCATTTGACAATCAAACCAGCATCGACAGCCGCACCAAAGGTGTGACATTGGTGCCGCAAACGCACAGCGGACCCACCGGACCGCCGGATACGATTTTGGAAGCCGATGCCGAGGCAGAAGCTGCAGCCGAAACGGAAGCGGAAACGGAAACACCTGTCGCAGCGAACGCCACTGAACTAGCAGCAGAAACAGCTGTGCACGACAGCTCCAAACCTGCGGACGTAGCGGCAGATACGTCGACCACCAGCACAGCTAAGGTTAGCTTTGCGGAGAGTAAAAGCGATAAACAGTGTAGTGACGGCGGTGGTAGTCAGAGTGTCGGCAGCAGTAGTAGCAGTAGTAGTAATAAAGCAACCATGCAGAGGCAAAGGCGCCTGCGCACACCGGTCTGGGCGAGGTCCATGTCGTCGACGAATAAAACGTACATAAGATCAAATAACTTTATGAACTTTTGCAAATTTGTTGTTGACACTAATTTATATGGCTTTCGTTGTTTAACTAATTTGTATTTACTGAATTCTTTTACATAGCAGATTTCGTAGATTTTCTTTAACGAATAACCAAGAAACCCGTTTTGTTCGTTTAGTTGTTCAATTTAATTCAGACACACTACCAAATTAACCGTTAAGCAATATACTCGTATTTAAATCGATACAACAACAAACACCATACAACATATTCTGTAAAATACTGCATTGATCTCTTTGTCGCAAACCGCTGCGTCTCTGTCTACCTCCTTTGTGTACGTCCCATTTATGAACTCTATCTTCTCCTATCCATCTGTAAAACTGTCTTACACCTTTCATTCTGTGCGACTTTGTGCAAAGCTTCTCTAACATATAACACTTTTCCTCGAGAGTTATTGTCAATTGCACACTTTTTTAGGTATTTAAGACTTCCCTCAGAACCTAAAGCATGCTTTATTGCATTCAGTATTCATTTCAGCCTAATTTTCGATTTTATGAAAGTTCTTTGTACAATTTTTATTGCATGTTCTACAACTAAGAATGTGTGTGTATTTTTTATTAAATGTGTTATTTTTAAGAAATTGTACATATCCAGCTCTTGGATATACATACATAAGTGTATAACTCATTCTACAAGCAAGAAACTAACCAATTCTTTTAATATTATAAACATATAAGCACCCAGCCAAAGTTAAAACGGAACCGACTCTAAAATAAAATACTTTTTATTTCAGAAAATAATAAAAGCAGATGTCCATAGTCCATACAGGGTGAACTTACTTTTTTTTTGTTTTTTGCAAAGATCAAAATAATATATTATGTCCATGTGAATTTGCCGGTTTGATCCTAATCTATATAATATACTGTGCTGTACTGAAAACAACTTCGACCGTATAACAAACAATTCGTCTTGCAATTACGTTGCATGCGCAATAATAAGCAATTTCATAATTAATATATTAATACAACTATATGACGGGCGCGCTGTATTTTATATTAATTTCTCGCTCAGCGTGCAACCCTGCACAACTCGTGAGCTGTGAACGTAGCCAGGTTCGCTCAGCTGACATCGATATTTGACAGCCAAAAAGTTGCCGCCAAAATACAAACAAGTGAGCACCGGTCAATAATTAGAAAACGTGTTTAATTCTTTAAATTAACGTATTTAAATTATTATTCGATAAACATAGCGTTAATTTGTTATTTGTTACATGTAAAATGTCTAAGGTTAAAAGTGACAAAGTGACGTCAAAAGACAGTGTACATGGTGAAAACAGTGAAGATTCGTGCGGTGTAAGTTAGTTCCAATTATTGTGCGAAATAATTCATATATATATTGTTAAAATTGCATTTTCAAAGGATGACACAGCCAGCGTCAGCACTAATAATACCTCTCGCAGCAAATCACCAACCACACGGCGATCTCGTGGTCATAGGCGTAGCAACAAATCAAAAGCACGTAAACCTGCATATAAATATGAGTAAGCTGATTTGCGTCAGACATACAAACTGCTTTGTTTGCATCATGTAATTTTATTTTGTTTTAGTTATCATGTGAAGGAAAATCATGGACAGGCGATTTTCGGTATTAGTTTCAATCAGTGGTTGGGGAACGATCAGCCGCTTATATTCGCCACAGCAGGTAGCAACCGCTGCACTATTTATGAGTGTCCACGCCAAGGTGGTATAAAATTGCTCATGTGTTACGCCGACCCGGATGTAAGTTAATGCATTTATCATTCGAATACTAGCTAGAAAGTAATCAATCTCCTTCAACTTCAGCCGGACGAGGTGTTCTACACATGTGCTTGGTCATACGACATTAAAACATCACTACCCCTGATAGCCACGGCTGGTTATCGTGGTGTGATTCGGGTTATTGATGTGCAAAAAAATGAAACTGTGGGCAACTACATTGGCCATGGGCAAGCCATTAACGAACTGAAATATCATCCGCGACAGCCGCATCTCTTATTATCTGGTAGTAAAGACCATGCAATACGCCTTTGGAATACACAATCGCACGTGTGTATAGCAATTTTTGGTGGTGTGGAAGGTCACCGTGATGAGGTGCTTTCTATCGATTTTGATTATCGTGGCGAACGTATTATGTCCAGTGGCATGGATCACTCTTTAAAACTATGGTGTATAAATACAGAAGATTTTAAAGAGAAAATCGAATTTTCGCGAACATTCAATCCAAATAAATCACAGAGGCCTTTTCCAACAATAATGCAGCACTTCCCCGATTTCTCCACACGAGATATACATCGAAACTATGTGGATTGTGTGCAATGGTTTGGCGATTTCGTCCTATCTAAATCATGCGAGAATTCCATAATTTGCTGGAAACCCGGACAGCTGCATCAAGGATTGCCGCAACTCAAACCCAATGACCCGTCATGCACCATTATCGCCGAATTTGACTATGATGAATGTGAAATATGGTTTGTTCGGTTCGGATTTAATCCGTGTCACAAGATAATTGCATTGGGAAATCAGCATGGTAAAGTGTACGTGTGGGAACTCGATCCCAGTGACCCTGGGCACACAAACACGAGTACGCTAAATAATTTGAAATGTAATTCTCCTGTGAGGCAAGTGGCATTCTCACGTGATTCCAGTGTCCTGGTCTATGTATGTGATGATGGTACAGTCTGGCGATGGAATAAAACCAATATCGTGCAAAAAACGCCATAAAGATCTCACAAAGAGAGAGAGTGATCATTTTTATACTTTCCTTATTATTTAGTCGCAGTAGGATTAGTAATTTAGTATGAAACTAACCAAATCGAAAATGCCAAGTAAAATATACCAAACTGAGGAACGGAAAAATATGTTTAAACTTTTTGTTTTTGGTAGTTTGTTATCATATAAGTCTAACATAAGTAGAAATAATTTTTAATAGTTAAGGAGAAAATTTCTGTGCGTAAACGCTCATGAATGCCTTCAATATGAAAAAAAACGGATTATTTAACTGTTTAATGTCTTTTATATGTATGTACTTATTAATCTCATTAGTTTTTAATAAAAATGGGCTTCGTTATTAAAAAAAGGGTGAACCTTTCATTCATCGCTGGTGCAATTTGAACTGAAAATCACATAAAATGAAATTAAGTCAATGTTTTCCCTTACATTTTCCTGATTTTCACTTAAGTTTATGCCAGTTTTTCAGTTCGTTGTACATTGTGATATTAACTGCTTGGCGTCGCTTATATCCTTCAATGTGTGTGTCGAAAAAACGAAGATTAAGGCTAAGGTGTAGAGAACGTCACAAAGCATAAGTGAAAAGCTTTTAGTAAAAACGCGACAATTTCATTTTTAGCACTTTAATGCTATACATAATACAGTTAAGCTTTACTTACTCGAAAACAATGTTCCAATTTGCCGCTTTAAGAAACAGGCGTCATGCCGCACTTACGTCTATACAAAAAATATCTCCCCATTACTTTAAGTGTGCAATTTACGAGCGATTGTCCTTTTACATTTTGTCGCATTTATCCCAATTTCATTATCCTTGACACGTAAAGTCAATAAACAAAATTTTTATATCATTACTTGACTTTTGGCTTTTAATATTTTTCGCAGTTCTTCATTGCCAATTTCCGACTTGTGTTACTTTTTCGTGGGAAAGCGCCGTTTCACACGCAAAGCGGTTATTGGGACCGCAAAGCTCTTGCTGCTGACCACTTACATATTTAAATACATACATATGTATATACATACATATATAGCTTATGTCGGCTAGCTCGCCAGTAGTTCAGTATGTAGTCTGATTTCTTAGGCATATTTTTACTTCTATGCAAATATAATCACATGCATTCAAGAATGCAAAGCTTGCAGGTGTGATACCGTTTTGCAGTGAACATGTGAGAACATGTCTCTTGAATAGCCTGCTCCTGCAAGTTCGCTTAACAAATAATCACGATTATGAAATAGTAATTTTTGCCATAAACAATTACTAAATAGTAACTTAAACTGTGCAAGAGCAAAAATAAATAAAAGTAGTTGTTAATAAATAATTAATTATTCACTCAAATTTATTTAGAATAAGCTCTTTGAAAAAACATTCCAGCTGATTCTGCTGTGTGTGTCAATAAAACTTTGACATTTGACAATGTGTGTTATTATTTAATTTTGCCTTGTACTTCAACTGCCATACAGTTATATTCGAATGTACTTGACTGCAGGGGTATTCCTCTGGCATTTAACCCTCTCATGGGTATGTAAATAAGGAAAATGTATATATATATACATAAGTATGTGTGTGTGTGTATTTTTAGTGGCTGCTCCTCAGCCTCTCGTAGTCAATGGTCCAGTGATGCGTCAAGTGTTATTGTCTTTAAGAGTAAACAACAAACACAAAGACAACAACAACAACCACAAGGACAACATTCATCCTGGCGTACAATTCGAGCACAACAACAACGACAACGGCCTTGCTCGGAGTACTGTTACAACAACCTCACCAATCAATATGAAATAAAACACGGCAACAATAACAAAAACATTGACTATAGGTCAATAGAACTCGAAATGTAAATTGGAATTTTGCGCAAATATTTGCTTTAAATAGAATGTGGCAACTTGTTTGTTCGTGTAATTCGTGCAATTGTGTTGATTTGTATACCACTAAAGTAGACGGCAACGAAAATATTTTCATAAATGTGTAAAATTTTTTTAAATGTTTTTTTTAAATGTTATTTTATAATACATTTTTTAATATCTTTTTTTTTAATATTATAGAAATACAAGTGTGTAAATCTATTATAACCACCCATTACTTGTATGTGGATATGTGTATTTGCTATTAATATAAAATTAGCGCATTTCAATGCCTATCTGAAGGCGTGTCAGTTGCCAGCTCAATTCCAGAAAACTCCGCATTTAACTACCAATACTCTTCTCATTCCGCCTTCTACTCACGCCTCTTCAACTGCACACTCAGGAAATGTAAGGCGTACGTGTCACGATGATTTTGTCTTCGAGCATGCAAGCCATACCAAAATCCCCAACTTGCTACTCCATCATTTCGGTTTTACGGAAATCTGTTTCCCACAGTTTATTGTCGTGTAAATTATCGGTTGTAGTGATTCTCAAAGTTCGCCTTTCATGGAAAATTCCCGCAGTAATTAGAAGTTCCGGATATTCATCTGAGCTTCAAAGACGCGCACCGGTTGGATGATGCCTGCGTATATGTATATACGAAAATACATATGTATGTACATATGTACATATGTAACAGTACGTACACATATAGTATCCCAAGTGAGCTCGCTTATACATACATACGTGTGCACACCTGTTTCGCCTTCGTTCCACATATCCACACACACGATTTCACCGATTCAAACAAATACTCGTGTTTAAGTTTTAAAGCAAGTCCCAAGATGCCATCCACGGTTGATTGCTAAGCCGAATATGAGCAGGGTGGAGTGCAAATCTCATCAAGTTTTAATGGAAATTTGACACCCGTCTACTTAATATTAATGCCGGCAAAGAATACCCTGCAGAATTTCATTACGCGCACTTTGCAAATCTCTAACGCGGCATTGTTGTGGGAGAGCGGCCCCGCGTGTGTGGCTTCAAGCTATAAATTTAAACGAATTTGGCAAATTAAATGAATTGTAATTTTGCGAAAAAGCAAATAATTTGAAAAGAAAGCACCTGAGTTTAAGTGTTGAGGAGGAAAAATAAAAAAAAAAAGGAAAGGGAGTTGGCGAAAAGTGCTCAGTACGCAGAGATAATCATAAAGAGTAATGTTCTCAATTAAACTTTAATTTTATTAAAGTGGGTAATTCAAAGTGCTGGGTCACACTCAGTTCCACATACATACATATATCGATTTTCGGCACTTAATACCATTTTGAGGTGGTTTGTTTAGATTCACAGCATTCATTTTTGCTTAAAGTAAGCACACTGCTGCAATTTTACTCAAAAAAATTAAAGGCAGCTCGAAACAAACAAATCTTACAGGTGGCGCTATAGAGCTGCTTAGCTGCCGACTCTACGTAACGGGTTGTTGTGCATAGTGTTGTTTTAGCTTCCGTTGTGTAATTTGCAGTGCATTTTTAAATTGCGCTTTTTAGTGAAAAAACAAAAGAATTTCCACCTCGGCACAGGCGTTTAATACAAGTAATTGCGTTCATTTCTCACATATGTACACACACACATGCACGCATGCATGGCAAGCGCTACTCACCGGTAAATCGACAAGCACACACTTTTATTTATTAATGCACTCAAACGAATTGAGAGTGAAAATGTTGGCATGAAAATTCAATTTACTCGCTGCAAATCCGATTTAATTCAATTCCAGCAATTGTTCGCCTGTTTTATTGCTGTTTCGCTCCAACCGCTCGCTGACCTTCGGTGGCGCAAAGCAGATCGGCCTGTGCACACACACACGCCTCTACCGTTGTGTCCATTGTTATTTTCCAAAATGGGAGGATCCTGGCAAATTCACAATCTACGCATTACGCAAATCTGTCTATGAAAGCAGCATAATTTTAGGCGCAAACATGGACTGCAACAGAATTTGCTTTGTGTTTGCCAGCTTATTGTGAATATTATTATATTTATATATGTACATATGCATATAGAAAGTATTGCGACTGTACTAACCGACCTTTATAAAAGCAACAGTAAATTTGAAATAAATATTCAACTGAAACCATAAGGGCTAGAGAAACAAATTTAATTCGAAATGATATTCGATATTGTATATTGTTCAAAACAAAAATTAAAAATACATAACTTTTTAAGTTATTTTATTTAAAACTGCGATAATCAATAAATTTGTAAAAAAAAATTTTCAAAATGTTTTATTTTTAAAATAAATAAAAGTGGAAAAATCATAAAATTTAGATTTTTTTAAATTTTTTTCTAAGCTGGTTGTACTACAATTATACATGTAATATGTACCTGAAGCAAAATATTTAAATAAAATCTGTAAAAAGTAGTTAAATGTTTAATGGTTGTTTTCCCACAATAATAAGGTGCAATGAAATAAATGTGATATTTACTTTCATGTAGTAAAGAAATGTTGTCAGGGTCGGTACTCCAAAAAAATATTTATTTTTTATTTTAATGAGAAAACTTTGATTAGCAATGCCTGCGAGCTTGTCTTTTTCACTACAATCAGCAGCACGCCCAGCCCAAAGTGGCTTATTTATGGCATTCCATGCATTTTATCAACACTCCTATGAAATTTACGAGGGCTACCAAATTATAATGCAGACTTTAAATTATGACTGCGGGGTTCTTTGGTTTGGCACGAACTGTGACTGTCAGCGATTCAGAACTCATTCGCTGAAGTAAAAAATGCGATGACACTTATAGACCAGTGCAGAAGCCCTTGGAGATGGTAAAAAAAAATTAATTCATAGCAAGTTGAAACTCAAGGGAAACGAAAGATATAAAACAAACAATGAAAAATAATTTACTCGCGTTTTGAGTGCGGCTTAAGGAAGGGTAGAGGCGTGGTTGAATTTTTTTGCGTCTTGCACATAACCTTAAAATTTGAGTAAAAAGTTCAAATATCCAAGATTTTGGTTTTTTATTTATAGCTTTGCAAAGAAAAATGTTCTTTCACGAAATTTGGCATAATCTTACCTTACTATGTGCTTATTATGTCCTAAATACACCTGATTTATTTCATTTAAAATATGTCTTCCCTTCTTATATTCTTAGTCGAAAAAGTATATTCGTATTCCTAATCAAATTTGAACATATTTTTTATATATTTACTTGCCGGAATTAAATTTTTTTGGTTGAAAAAAGCTCAGTCTCACTTTTTCAGCACTATATTGCGCGAAAACCTATGTAATCACGCACCCTCGTATCACAAACGTCACCAATGTATTTACAGCCAAAAATAAGCAGCATTTTTTATTTATTTGGTAGTGATAAGAAATAAGCATTAGAAGCAAATCCATGATAAATATCCAAAGTAGACAAATGTCGCTTCATTTTCACAATAAGCCGAAGAGATACCGATATGGACGGCAGTGGTATGAAG